ACAAACTTCATCATGGTTCACAGAATCCCATCCATCCATCCATCCATCCATCCATCCATCCATTCATCCATCCACCTGTCCATCCATCCATACATCCATCCATCCTTCCATCATCAGACAGGACAGCCCAACACTGTTGCCTCAGCAAAACGTTGGATTTGATCTATGGTTTGAACAGGTCTCTCTGTGTGGAGTTTGCATGTTCTCTTTGTGTTTGCATGTTTTTTTTTTCAGGTCCTCTGGTTTCTTCCCACAGACTGAAAACTTGAACGTTGGGCTACCCTCAGGCCCCCCTTGCAAAAAAAGATTTGTGATCTCAGCGGGATTTGACAAGTTACATAAAGGTCAATAAATAAAACATTCACATCTTCCTGGTCTTCTGAGAGGACTCTGGCAGACATCTTCAACTCTGTTCCACTTGACCCACTGTCCTGCATGTTTTAGATGTTTCCCTGCTTCAACACACCTGATTGAAATGAGTGAGTGATTGATAGGCTGATGTTAAACTCAATGACATTCAGGGTATACTCTTTGAATCGGGTATGCTCCCAGGTGATCCCAGGCATGAAAGACAGTAGATGACATTCCTTCAAGAAATGCTAACCCTGTCCATCCATCCATCCATCCATCCATCCATCCATCCATCCATCCATCCATCCATCCATCCATCTACCCATCCATCCATCCATCTTAAAGTGAGTTTTTCCTTTACCTGCCTCTGACCTCCCAATTCTGTTTACCATCAACATCCTAATGAGTACTGAGATCATCCATTTGTTAAAATTATATGCTCCAAATGATGGCTCTCATATCTCACTGTCACATTTAACACTAAGAAGTAGCTAATTTAAAACAAAACTGACAACTTTATGTGATGAATCGCATTATGTGTATAATAAGCTCTGAGCTGATGTCTGAATAATAAAAACGGAGAAGAAGCTCTTAAAATGTCAGAAATCAGAAAGAGATTAATGAAAGCAGTTTTGTGCTGAAGTGTGACCAGAGCTCACCCTGGAGTGGCAGAGGAACCCGGCGTAGAGCAGCAGCGCCGCAGGCATCAGGACCACAGAGAAGACAGCAAGCAGCAGCAGAGCTCCAGCTGCCAGGACACACAGGTTCCACAGGACAAGGACCGCCCCACAGGCCACGCAGCCGCACCGGCCCCTGCGGCTGCCCCACGCGCTGCCCTCGCTGTGGGCCACAGGAGGCGGCAGCATCTTCACAGCATCCCCCATCCAAAACTCCTCCTCCTCCTCCTCAGCTGGACCACCATCATCCAGGTCCACATCCATGCCACACATCCTAAACACCACAGTAGCATCTTTTAAAAATAAAAATGACTGGATATGAAAAGTTTTAAAGGCTGCTGATGAGACACTTCTAAGTAATTTCTTAGTTATGAAAATTATTACATCTGAAGTTTGTTGATTTCTTTCAAGCATTGACCAACGTGACTGCTCTTCCACTTTTATTGACTAAATAAGCAAATATTTCTCATTTGCATGAGCCTCGTTCATGATTGCTTATTTCATTTAAACTCAACTTTATTTTTAAATGCACTTAGTTCATATCTAAAACTGTAAAACCATCATGAAAACTGCTCAGAATGCAGACATGTGATGATGTGTGTAAGTAAAAAATAAAATTTCTTACCTGAATGAATAAACTAACGCAGTTCAGTCCGTGAATTAGTCAGATATTTCTCCTCCTCTGATCGACGCGGAGCTTACAACAGACAGACAGACAGACAGACAGACAGACAGACAGACAGACAGACAGACAGACAGACAGACAGACAGACAGACAGACAGACAGACAGACAGACAGACAGGACTTGAACCCAGCGCTGCTGAACTGATCCAGCTGTCTGAGCTGTGTGAAGCTGACACCCCACCCACACAAAAAATAAAAACTAGTAAGCGGATTGGTTAGTGCTTCGTTTGTGCAGGTCCTGTCTGTCCTCATCCTGCACACGCGCGTCCTCGACAGCGAGGCAGTGAGCGACCCATCAGGCTCGCGCGCACGGTGTTTTTTTTTTTTTTTTTTTTTTTTTTTTTAAGTACGCAAACCTGAAAAACAACACAAGTATCTCGCTTGAGCATTTGGAACTCGGAGCGTGCACTATCAGCTACTATCACAACAAATACACTGTAAAAACTGCATCTGACCAAGTTTTAAAATCCTACGTCCAGCCAAAAAGTCTTTTGTTTTGAGACTGATTTACTAAACAGGAGCTGAATGTGTAAGAATATTAATCTTGTTTTCAGAACAGGTACGATTATTTATTTTGTTAGCCTGGAAATTTGACTCAAGTCAAAAATTTCTGCCAACAGAGTCAGAAAAGTTTACTTTGAAAGATTGTTGAAATACTTGATTTGACTCAATTTTTTCCTCATTTCAAGAATCTTACCAAGTAAACTTTTCTTACTCCATTGGCAGAAATTTTTGACTTAATTTGAGTCAAATTTCCAGGCTAACAAGATATATAATCTTACACGTAAGACAAAATTATTATTCTTACACATTCAGTTCTTGTTTGGTAAATCAGTCTGAAAACAAGATCAAAAAGACTTTTTGGCTGGCTGTAAGATTTTAAAACTTGATTAGATAGACATTTTTTGCAGTGGAGCTGATTTTCTGTGGAAATGACTGATTTATGTGCTGTTAAAGATCAGCTGTCTGTGGCAGCCATCTTGAACTGAGCTGACCTTAAAAGTTATTCAGGTTTAATATTTGAACCAATGATTATTTACTGAGTTTCAATAAAATCTGTCCAGTGGTTTATGATATTTTACTAACACAGCAGACAAAAATATTATTGTCCTTTTGGCTGCAATTTAATGTATTTCCATCCAACCATCATTTGTTCATCCATCCATCCATCCATCCAACCATCCATCTATCCATCCATCCATCATTTGTCCATCCAACCATCCATCCATCATTTGTTCTTCCATCCATCCATCCATCCATCCATCCATCCATCCATCCATCCATCCATCCATCCATCCATC